TACGTGCAAGATATGAATTATGATATGAAAGGTAAGATAAAAATTCATATCTAATAATTTAAGATCCGTGTTTAAATATTATTTCAAAATATTTTAGTAATTCAACGGGTTATGACTAAAACTTAAATATTTATATGAATAATTTTTAATATCATTACCCGCGTATTAACGCGGGTCCTAATCTAGTATCAGTATAAAACAAAGAGAAAGGTAAAGTAAAAGAGGCAAGACATGTTCCCAAAAGGTTAAGACTCCCAAAGCGAGAAGCTTCGGACAAGCTAAGAATTTAGAGAGGTTGCAAAGAGCCTAAGCCTATATATAGAATGTTGATACTTAACCACAAAGCAGTGCTTTAAAGCTGTCTTAAAGTTTGGGACACAGATTACAAAAACAAGAAAAAAGGAGGCACATGTATTAGTGAAACAAATATCTTCTTTCTTGCTCTCGATTATAAGCATATCGTTCTTTGACTGATTCTTATTGCTTTTGTATCGATTCGTGCCTACAAAAGCTTCTTCTTTCTAACATATATTCGTTTTTCTTTTCCAAAAGTTTGTATAAAGAAGTGAGTTTTGGTTTCTATCATTTGGTTTATATCATCTTATAATAAGAAAGGACTGATTATTTGGCGAACTAATTATGATTAGACAATAGACAATATTATTGTATAGACAGTATTGGCTTCTTTTCCAATATAGATTTCTAAGTAACTCGTAGATAAGTCTTCTTCCATGTGTGGAAGTTTAACCTGGTGAATAATCTTCTAGCCTTCCAAGACAAATTTCATTCATCTTAAAAAAAATGATTATCATATCAATAATATACACTTTTAGTTGAAGATTTGACCGATCATATACATACTAATTCCTCTCACGGATACTTCAACATGTATTACAGTCATTCCTCTCATTAGCAGCTTTATGTAAACCCCATGTGAATTACTTAATTGTTTTCATAGGGATAACTTTTTTTTATCCTTCCGTGAGGTATCTTATTCATTATTGGGGATCGGATGACAATGACACAGCTAGTGAATTTGGATGTCAAAAATCAATTCATTTGGCGCATAAATGCTCAATTTCTAACATGGTTTTTAATTATTTTGTTTATATATGGCTATGATAAGCGCGCCGAAAAACTAATATAGACGGATTAGATGGCTGAACAAGCCTTAAAATGATCTAGACGGCCAGTTAGATGGTTTGATTCAATTAGACAACCATGAACCATCGTGTAATTCCAATTGTATGCATAATATTTATTGATGCATTTGTTTGTTGGAGATTCATTTTGGAAAAACCATAATTAGTTATTTAACATTTTAGAAACATCCATAATTTTCTTATGGTAACTTGAAAATTCTAATCTTCTGGTTGTAGTTTTTTGTACGTTATATTATTGTATATTATGGTTTATTTTCCGCATACCATAGATTTATCATTTATGTTGCAAAAACATAAAACCAGCGTTGATATACATTATTGTATGCAAATGCAAATTAATCTATATATAGAGAAAAACGCCATAATCAACTCGATATACTTGACCAATGATGATGATGATTAATATTTATTGAAATCCCATAGAGAACACACACTAGAGAGACAAAAAAACGAAAAATAAAAACAAATTTTCTTCCAGACTACTACGTTCAAAGAAGAGGTGGTGGAATCATCAGTCACGAGTCTCGTGGAACCTTCTAATGAAATCAGTAGATCTCCGGTTAATAGCTGGTTCGACCACGTACCAATTATAGAAGTTGGCTTCACTATCTTCACCATACATCTCGTCGTCTGTTCCTCCCTGGTTCGATCTCTGTCTTCTCCTCCACCATGCCTTGAAGCTGCCAAAGAAGCTAAAAAAGAAACGCCAAGATCCTCCCATTGCAATCCTTTAGAGAAAGAGATGTATTTTGCGTGTATATATGTCTAAAGATGCATAAGCATGTGAGGTCTAATGGTTTAGGGTTAAAAACACAAGGTCTCTTTATATACATAAGGCTGAGAATTGGAATCTTTGAGGAACCATGCACGAAACACCCCCACCAACCAAAAAAAGAACTTTTCACTTATAAACCTATTTTTATCACAAAAGAAAAAGCACTAAAAAAGGTTCGAGGGATTTAGTTTACGCATAGGCATTGGTAAAATCACTTTCGTAACAAAATGTATGATAGTTTCTATAGCAAATTTTGTGGCCTATATGTTGTTCCATATTGACACTCAATATTATGTATATTGTGCTATCATTTATAAAATTTACACACTTAGATTTGTTTTTTTTTTTACGCATTGAGAATTACTTGAATATGTTTCTGATAAACATCTGTAAAAGGTAGTGTTTATTTATATTATATACTCAAAATTGAGAAATTTACGTATGATCAAGTTTTAAATAAAAACTAAACCTAGTTAACAATATCGTGCTCCGATTTATTATATATTCATTGAGATTATCTCAAATGAACTTTTTCATCTTGAATTGGAGCAAATCTCTTCTTCTTTTTTACGTTTTACACTTTTACCATATTTTGTAAAGAGTTTCTATAAATTTACACAAGAGAATTTACATTTGACCGACCATTGAGGATTTTCCCAAATAGTTTGTCACACAAATTAAGCCCGAACAGAAACGGCAAGCACTTTTCTTATGAATACGAAAGACGGCAAGGTGTTTAGCGAACAAATCCAGAATGAGCGAGTAACAAATGTTTGGTCATCTCGAGGTCAGCTAGTTGTAGAAATCAGCTGCGACGGCGACGACAGCCATGAATCGACTGAGATGGGTCGGAGAAGGCGACATTTGGGAGCTTGATATGTCTACTCCGGTAACACTCGAAGCCACCGCACGAGCTGTTTCCGACGACCCTCTTCCTCTTGGTCTCTCCAGAGGCATTCGTCTCTCTCGCCCTAAGCAAGCTGAGTTCTTCCACCGCTTCATGGCCACACCTCTCATCCCTTCCTTCTCCTCTCTCCGTCACACCACCGGCGAAGGAGGCGGTGGTGGATTGTCTCTCCAAAGAGTCATCACTTTCCCATTCTCCAACAACTGGTACTTCACCAAATTCAAAAATCCCTTTCTTCTGATAATAATTTCGCTAAATGCTTGATAATTTTGTTCTCTGTGAATCCCAAGGCTTCTGTCTCTTCTGGGTCAATTCGATGTTCAGAGATTCGTATCGGAAGTAAAAAAGAGTGAAGATTTTGTCCGTGGGTCTTCTTCTGCAGCAGCTTCTCGTTTAAACACAATCACCAAACATTTGAAGGATAAATCGTTGTACGCATTGGGTTTTTGCTCTGAGTTGTTGTTAACACCAGAGGATACTTTGCTTCTTAGCTATGATACTTACAAAGGTGATCTTCAAAAGAATCCTAGAGCTAAAGCTGTCTTCAATCACAAGGCAATTCCTTTGTTTTACCTTCTTTTGCTTTGTTGCTTCTTATCAAAAAATTTCCCTATGTGGTTGGAAATGTGATTGAGTTACTTTGTGATGCTGTTTGTTTTCAGTTTCCACTTCACAATTTGACAGCAGAAGCGGTTTGGCCTGGACTATTTGTGGATAAACATGGTGAATATTGGGATGTGCCATTATCAATGGCTATCGATTTAGCTTCTCTTCCTGCTGAGTCTGGTCCAAGTTACCATTTATGTTTGCACCATAACAGCGGATCGCCAAAGAAGTTTAATTCTGAAACTATCGATGTGCCACCACCACCGTCTCTGCTTCCTGGTTTGTCTCTAAAATCCGCAGTCTCTTATAGGACAAACATGGATCTTTGGAGGGGTACCATTCCAAAGCTCGAAAACTGCAAGCCTTATGACATCTTCCTCAGTATTCCTCATGTCTCAGTCTCTGGGATTATTGGTATGATTGAAAGTTTTTTGTTTCAGTGAGCCATCTGCTTAGGATGCACTGGTCTTCTGATGATCTTTCTGATGTTACTGATAACTTTCATTAATTCCACAGGTAGTGTGATGACTGCAGCATTTGGTGAAAATTCAATCAGAACAAAACTTGAGAAGGATTCTGAAGGCGTTGGAGGGTTCTCTCTTAATCTTCCATCTCTAAATTCCGGATTCATGGCTGATGCCTTAGGACGTGCATCACTCACAGCTCAGTATGGAAACTTTCAGAAGCTCTTCTTTGATCTCACCCGTTTCCATGCTAGATTAGACTTTCCACAGGGTCTGAGGTTTCTTACCGGTGCCACTACTGTCGCGCAAGAACTTTTGAATTCTCGGCAGCCTAGTTTAGAAGCGTTTCAGAAAATCTGCCCTGAAGTATCAGTTTCTCTGCAGCAACAGGTAAAAGAAACATAACTGTTCTACTCTAATTCAAAGTTTCAGCTACTTGATTCATAAGTAATATATGGATTTTGTTGCAGATTGTTGGACCTTTTAGTTTAAGAGCTGAGTGTGGAATTCAAATTGATGTGAAGAACGGAGCTAACCCCGTGACTATAAATAACACAGTATTTGCTATCGAATATGCTCTTCGAGTGCTTACTTCTGCCAAGGCTGTTGCTTGGTACTCCCCAAAACAGAAAGAATTCATGGTTGAGCTTCGTTTCTTTGAGACATAGCCTAAGGATATTATACTAAAAATGTCAAGCTTGATCTTGTGAAGATTGTAGTCTTTCAGAAAAGTAAATAGACAACGATTTTTCAATTTCTATGTTAACAGAAGAATGTTTCAATAGAAGGGAAGTTTACATTTTGTTATAGTATAATGTCTACCAAAACTAGTTACAGGACAACCTAGTGGAAGCTGTAGATGATCTTCCTTATACTTAACAGACACAAGAGAAAGACCATGAGGCGGTGCAGGCAATGTTGTATACTTTGCAAGCTCCCTCCGGTCTTTGGTTTCAAGAATCATTGGGACAATGTCTGAATCCAATGCTTCTTTTCCAATTTGAATCAGCAAAGATACCTGCAAATGTGGAAGGACTCAGCAGTCTAAAAAACATTATTTCGTTAAGAGAGACGAGCGAACTAACCATGTTTCTGACTTGTCTGTATAAAAAGCCAGTACCTTCAACTTCAAGCTGTAGAAGAGATCCCTAAACACCAAAACACAACAAGGTTAAGGGCTAAACCTTATCCAATCTTTTTCCAGAATTGAGATTTTTACCATTTGAATGACATCGAAGCGGGATATAGTTTTCAATGGATCAGGTACTCCATCTTCCCGTGTAGCGTTAGCAAATGCAGAGAAATCATGCTTTCCAACAAAAAGTTTTGCAGCTTCCCGCATTTGATAAACATTCAGTTTATAAGCACAGTGGTAAGCCAAATGACGCTGGAACGGGTCCATGAAAGTGTCGTTGTATATCTGGTAGCGGTAAACCTTGCCACGGCAAGAAAACCGAGCATGGAACTCAGGAACCGCTGCACTAATCTCTCTGACACGGATATCTTGAGGAAGCAGACCGTTTAAAGCAGCGTGAATGCTATCCAAACTAGTATAATTGAAAGGAGTAACAAAATGAGCTACCTGCAAAAAAACAAGATTAAAGACAAGAAAGAATGATGGATGATTCTTGAAATTTCGTGAAAGTTGAGAAAGAGAGATATGGAAGTTTTACACTGAACCTGACCCCAAGCGTGAACTCCTGCATCAGTCCTACCTGCTCCAACTAGAAGCAGCTCTTTTCTTCCGAGCTTTGTTATCTGAATTAAGGCTTTCTCTAACATTGATTGGACCGTTGGTGGTGACTCCTGATATTGCCATCCTGAAATCAACGTCTCCATTCAGTTCGGCATCAAGGAAACAAGATTAATAGATGCATCCAAAGTAGGAGCAAAACAAAGTTAAAGGAAACAAGACTGATAGATACTATTCTATATATCTGCAGAATATACCTGTATGGTTGGTTCAATTAATACACAGAATTTTGCACAGTACCTGCAAATTTGGTGCCATCGTAGGCAATCACAAGCCGCCATTTATAACCACCAGGATCACTGACCTTTACCAAACTGTTCAGCTTCGTAATCTACAAAACACAAACCCAGAACAAAATCACCAAAAAAACTTTCTGTGCATTTCTTCCAAGCTAGCAAGAGAAGTCGAAATTCGAAAGGTGGGGATTGGTTTTTGTGGCGCTTACGGAGGTATTTTGAGAAGACGAGAGAGACCCATTAGTCAACAGTGAAGGAGGAAGCGCTACTCTAGCGCAGCCCATCCTC